GCACTTGACTGCTAACCAGAAGGCTGGTGGTTCAAACCCACAAGCCACTCTTTGGAAGGAAGATTGGGCAATCTACTTCCCTAATGATACTGCCTCCGAAACCCAAGGAGGGGTCATTACGAGTCGGGAACGACTTGACGGCACATAACAACAACAACAATATATATACATACTTTTTTTAAAAAAAATTTCTCACTGTTGAAAGGACAGCTGGAGCTCTCTCTGATCCCCCTAGGTCATCTTCAGCCTCAAATTCATGATCCTTCCTCCCTTCATAACTGCCAATGGCAGCATCATTCTCTTGGTCTTCAACTTACCATTTTTCCTCCATACTTATGAAGTGCATCTCTTCAAGTCATAAGTAATTGGTTTATCTTTCCTTTTTCTAGCATCTTTCCTAACCCAGACCCTTCATGTTGTTGTAGACCAGCCTTCTCTTATCCAGCTTCTCCTAGCTCAGTATAACCCTCCTCATTGCCCCATCAAATTCAGGAGGAGCAGAGGGGCTTTATAGAAATAGCTTTTGGAGTTCAAAAGCAGTTCTACTACTTACTAATACTTTACTAATCTCTTTGAGCTTCAATCTCCTCATCTGTGATTGCGAGTAGGAAATATCTTCTTTCCTGGCTTGTTGAAAAAGTTAAATGACATAAATAATGCACATGCCTGGTAGCAAAGTTAAGTGTCTGTACCTCTCTAAAGCACTTCTCCTCTTCTCTTGGCCTGGTGATTTTTCTACTCAGGACTTTCTGTAGGTGCCTTGTGATATCTAGGACCAAAGACATAGTGCCCAGCCAACATTCAGGGCTTCTTTTCAGTTGGCCTCCTCTTAGCTTTATGTCAATACCTGCTGAAAGGCAGCTCTTTGCTGGCTTTAGTGGTACCCTGGGTTAAAGCTTCTCCTTTAAAGAATTGTCTCAGGAAGGTTTCTGCTAAAATGCATGTGTTTTTCCCTGTGAGGGATAACTCTTTATTTGGATTGTTTTGTCCATTTTGCAATCTG